AGCCCTTATTTTCAGAACACTGTCTGGGAGGGAGGGAGGGAGGGAGGGACGTCTGTGCAGAAGGCATGCATCAGATTCTTATTTGCCGGATAAGCGAGACTCAATTGGAAAATGGACAAAGAAGTTCTTCACGGAATGGCTGGGTTGAGAACCGCGGCTCTTCTGCTCTGTAGATCCGGAGAGGGTCCAGACCAGTCTGGAGCCAAGGCTGGAGTCAGCCAGCTGAGCAGAGGCGGCCGCCGGCCGTGGCGGCTCTCTTTCCAGCTCCACTGAGTTGCTGTCCTTGGCCTGCCTCAGGAAGGAGGAAGGGCGTAATGTGAAATCCATGGGCTGTGACAGCCAGAGCACGGAGGAGGAGAAGTGATGCTTTGCTCCGGCTGCAGAGGGGAAGCCGTCTCTCTGGAGCCTCTGCTGCGCCCGGAATAATTGCCTTTGATCCCACTTCCTCTAGTTTACCGAGTCAGAGTCATTTTTGGGGGTGGGAAGAGAGAGAGATGCCCCCCCCCAATATTTGGCATAGAATGGCTTCTGGTCCTGGTTGCTAAAATGGAGGAATATGGGCATGGATGTCTTGAATTGGTCAACAGAGTTCTGTGTGAGCTGGAAGCCTGCATACCAGATGCCAAAGCTTTCTGTTCTGAATCTCCGGGTTCCTCCATTCGATGGATTGGATTCAGCTCTTTTCTGGGTTGGCCATCTTACCCTTGGTTGGGGCATTCTGGACTTTTAAAAGAGTTCAGTCTGGCTGTTGATGATGGGCGACGTTAGTCAGTCAGTGCTTTTCAGACTTACAATGCTTCAGGAGCTGAACGATTAGAAACTCCAGGCCAGATCTCGTGGCTAGTCTGAGCTAGAGGAGCTGGCCAAGGATCTTGGCTGGTTCGCCAGAGTTTTTAAGCGAGGGTCGGATCCTCCCCTCCCACCACTGCAGCTGAAGACCATCAGACACCTTGAAGACATTAGTTGGAAAGGTTCCCCCCTTGCCTTGCCCCCCCCAGTTGATGTCTTCCTCTCGCATCTCTCCCCCGCCCACCCCACCCCAAAGACTAGGAACCTCCAGCAGGAGGCGGCCACCTGCAAATTGACCCTGCCTGGTGTTTTAATTGACAAGCCTGTTAAAGATGGATGTGCGTGGCTAGAGGGAGAATGCTGCAACCCATGAGGGGAGGCCGGCGGCGGCAGCAGCGGCTGTCCCTGTGCGTGTGCGTGTGTTGGAGTTGCTGATTTATGACCTTCCATCTCTCCCCAACCCCAACCTCTCCCCCCCCGTCTCGCAGCTCTAAATCTTTTTCCCTGTTTTTTTTTTTTCAAACCTGACTCAGGCACGATGGGAGGGCTCTTTCTGGATGGGGAGGAGAGCCCGGCATTGGAGGACGTCAGCAAATGGACGGTGGAAGACGTCTGCAGCTTTGTGCGGGGCTTGTCCGGCTGTGCCGAGTACACGCAGGTAAATTCCAAACTCTTGTGGGAGAACACAGGGCACCCCGTTTTATCGATTTCCACAAACCCCATTTCCTTCCATCCTTCGTATCACAGCATTACACAATTCGAAATTAGGGACGCATGTGAAATACAGGTAAAATTAAAAACAAATTGAAGTATGAAGATAAGTAGATGATTATTATTATTATTATTAAACCAGAAGCGGGCTACTTCCATGGCATTATTTTAGCCTTTTGCTAGATATTCTTTTGTACACATGATGGGACATAAGTTACACGCACAGTTTTATATTAAGGTATAAATCCAGGCAGTCTCAGTGCTGCTTATCATCCTGGTCATTTTGACAAGCTTGTCCACTCACCGTGCGCCAGCAGTGACGACTGGAGCCTTGAGCACTCAGTGGTTGATTCATCCTGTGCAGTGGGGGTGGAGGGGGAACCCCAGGGCCCCTTGTGCTGCGAGAGTGCCCATTCGTCACGGCCAGGGGCTGGCGGGCGGGTGAAGTGGCGCAGTGGGAGGCCGCCGGGCAGGATACAAACCCCATGTCTGTTCAGCTCCGGAGCCCGCCAAGGCTTCTAATAAACACCCTATTGAGCCAGAGGCTCCTGAGGCATCTGGGACAGGCAGGAAGAGAGTTGCCGAGGTGTGCTCTGGGCTGGAGGAAGGACATGATCGATTGGGGGGGGGAGAGAAAAGGTGTGAGCGGTTTAGGGCTTCTCTTTGGGTAAAGAAAACAGCACAGCAGCAGTGCAGAGAAGTGAGGGCACAGACGTAGATTTTCTACTCTTGCTCTTTTTAAAATTAGTGGTTTGCTCAGCTGCAGGATCCCGATTCTGTAAATGAACACCACCATGTGGGGAGATGGTCGATTTATATATTTCTGTGGTCTGAGACCCCCAACCATGCCTGTTCCCCTTTCTTCATTCCACCCCATCTCAAACTGGGCTGGAGTCTTGAGACTTCCTGATGGCTTCCAGAAAAGTAGGGCTTTTGCAAAAAAAAAAAAGGGGGGGGGACTTCATGGTTCATCCGAGATAGAATTCTAGGCAAGAAAGCCCAGGCCTTTAATGACAGCAAGCCTGTTTGTAAGTAAGTTCTTCCCCAAGTTTCTAGTCCTTAGGAAAAATGCTTAGAAACTCCTAGGTGAACAACAGTTCATTCAGAGAATGGAAATGTTAATCGCCAGACTCTGAAACCTGCAGTGAATGTTTAATTCCTTTTTATAAACACACGCGCACGCACGCACACACACACACACACACACACACACACACACGGCTTGTCTCCCTCTTTTAGCGAGCACGTGGGGTTGAAACATAAAAGTGACCAAAGCGGCGTTTCCTTTCCAGCAGGGCCGCGTCCACCAATTTTGCAGCTGCCCGTTCGGCGCCATTTCTTGACAGCAGCTTCCCCAACATGTGGCTGACGCGCTCGGCTCTCTGATCTCGAAGCCCCTTTCAGCTTCCATTCTGGTTCCCGCAGATCAAAAGCCGGCAGGAAGAACGGCAGGGGAGCTCTCCTTTTGAGGTGCTAACAAAGAGCACGTTCAAAGGCACGGCTTCCGAAGCGCGCATGCACGCACGCACCGCTCCATCCTTGCCCCTCTCCGTGGAAGCCCTTGTGCTCCTCTGAGCAGTCAAAGAGTGTTAGAACGACACCCTGGGTGCCGAACGAACGCAGCTGCAGTCGTCAGCGTGGAAGGGGCTCATCCTGCCTGCACCCCATGGTGCTGGAGGTCCTGGAGGCTTCCTCCTCCGATAGGGGCGAAAGGAGCGTCTCCTTTCTCACCACTCCTGCCGCCAGCCGGCCTCAAGGTCTGCCAGGCTGAGGGAGACACAGACAGGCTGCTCTCGGAAAGAGCAGAAGGAACGAACTCACCCTTCGGGCCGACCCAGGGCGGGCGGGGGGGGGGAACTCTAGGTCCCCATGCAAACGTGGCCCTGATTGTGCAGGCAGAGATTTGGGAGTGAGCCCAGTTTGGCCCAAGGCTTCTTAAAAGGAGGCTTATTTTTCTTTTCCTTCTCAAGTTTTTTTTTGGTCCACAGCAGGCTCTGCTTTTAGCAGGTTTTTTTTTTAACAGTGCGAGAAAGGCAGGCTGCTGGGCAAACCTCGACCCGTGGAGCTGTGTCTGCTGGCTGTTTCTCTCTTGCAGAAAACCGCAGCTGCCGGGGAGGTCTGGCGCATAGCTGACCTCTGCTCCTGCCAGCAAAAGCCGCCTGCCGTTTTTTGCATCAGGCAAAAGGCAGGTGGGTGAGGGTGGGGGGCATCTCCCAGTACAAATCCCAGTGTTAGAAACAGAGCTCTCTCTCACACACACACACACTCGCCTTGCCCTTTGGTGCTCTGAGGCCCAGGGACCCTCCCTCTGTGCCACCTCCTCCTGTCCTTCAGAGTTTGGTCTTGACTCCAGGGAGGGAGGCCTGAAGCAGCGCAGGCCCAGAAGCTCTTCTTGGCTCCCGGCCAGGCTGGCTGGCGAGGACGGAAGGAAGGAAGGAAATCAATCAGTCTGCTGGGTCACAGGGCAGGGGGAGTCCACGCCACACTGGATGCAGCTGTCCGGAGGGAGGGGAGCACAAGCCTTGTTGGTGGCTTAAAGACACATTTGGACAGCGGCCCTGTTGTCTCCCAAAAGCCAGACAAAGGCAGGCAGGCGTGAGGGATAGGGGAAGAAATGGAGGAGTGGAAATGAAACAGCTCATCCAGCTGATCGCTGTTTTGGAAATGTTCCCCTGCTTGCAAGTAGAAATCCAGCACAGTGGGGAAAGGCTTTGGATAGGATCTCTCCTTTCCTCTCCATGTGCTGCTTCTCTTATTTGCAAGTAAGATTGTTTTCCATAAAACCACTATATTGGGTGTATTTAAAAGTGGCGTTTTCGTCTGCGTTGTGAAGCACTCCAGTCTAATCTGCTGTCTGATTCTGTTGTGAATGCATTAAGCCTTGGGAGTACTAAGTACTGTGAAAACGAATCGTGTAGTGTAGGGGAAGAGCGAAGATGCAACTCTTTACAATGTTGCTTCCCTAACCTAACCAAATGGTGAGTGCTGGTGGGGGTGTTTTGAGGGCAACAGGTACAGTACATGGTTCCTGCCCTAAAGGTACCTGTCCCAGGTAGGAGGGGGAGGAGTTGTGGAAACAAAGGCTTGCAAGATGAAACAAAGGCCTGCAAGGCGATTCAAAGGCACACAGCTTCCAGGTTTATCTAGCCGTAAAATACATTTAAGGCCTTAAAAAAAAAAGAGAGAGAAAAACTTGTGGGATGCTGGCCACAAAGGCCTGCTTCCGGGCTACTTCTGGTTCCTCTCTTGTGAGCATGCTGCTTTTGCTTCTTCCTCCACAGGCCTTCCGAGAGCAGGCCATCGATGGCGAGACCCTGCCCCTTTTGACCGAAGAGCACTTACTGAATAACATGGGGCTCAAACTGGGACCCGCACTGAAGATAAGGTCACAGGTAGGAGAAGCCAAAAGCAACAACGCGCAAGCGCCTCCTCTACAGGCGCTCCTGTGCCACCCAAGCCTGTTTCGTTTGGGGCAAGAATATGAGCTTTGGGGATTCATAGGATCCTGTGGCCCGGTTCCTGTTTACCTGCTTTTTGTAAAAAAAGAAAAAGCTGTTTGGTTTCTCCCTAGAAATAAAGAGTTCCAGCCTGGGGCCACACCAACACTGAATCACTAGGAAGTTAGAAACCTTGGTTCAAATCCAGTGGCCGATATGAACCTGCACAAGGCAGATTGCCATTCTTTAAAACCAGGCATTGGTTGCATTCCTAGGTCTGCAGACGGTCCTGTCATCGGAGAAGTGGCAGGAACCCAACCGGCACGTTCGCAATGAGTAGCAATTGGCCACCAGGACGAAAGCCATTCCCCTTGTGTGTGTGTGTGTGTGTGTTGCGTGCCGTCAAATGGGAACTGACTCATAGCAACCCTAATGTGGCTGTTGGGGTAAAGACATCCGAGCGGTGGTTTCACCAGTCCCACCCTCCAAGGCTGAGCAGGGATTTTGAACCCAGGAGGATTCCCCGACTCCTCACCCCGTCACTCTCCCAATAGGATTGTGACCCCTGTCTGTAATGTTTCACGGGTCTAACCAAAGGCATTTCCCAGGCTGAAAGGTTCTATCCTCAGCATATGGACCAAAGGGCTGAAATGGTGGATCAAGACCTTTTGTGGGCCTCTCGGTGTCCCTCCCGCTCCTCTCCTCAGGTCTTTAGGAGAAGAGGGGTCCTTTGCGCCTCATCCTTGAACCCTAAAATTCTGCCCCCCAAGAGTGTTCACTCTTCCCCGCCAGCCCAAGGGACGCCAGCGATGTGGGGCTTGTATTCAGAGGAGGGGCAGCCTTTCTCTCCGCACGGTCTCTTGTCTGGCTCTCATACCTACACAGCTGGTTCCTGTTCAGGCTTGAACAAAAATAATATGTGTTGTTTTTTTTACAAAACAAGCACCACCACCAGGGGCTCGTATTTAACCCCCAAAAGCCGAAGTCTTATTCGATTAGCAGAATGGATGTTTTTGTCTTAAAATCATTTACAGTACTGCTGCTGCAGTTTTTCCTCTCTCCCGCCCCGTCTTGCTACACCTCTGTGTCACCCACCAAAACCTCAAGTCCCAAACCCTGTAAGCTAGGTGTGTTCTCAAAACTGGGTTAGAATTGCTGGATTTTTTTAACCCCCCTCCCTTTTTTTCCCTCCCTTTCATTCTTGAATCAGTTTTATTTCCTGCAGAATTGATCCACTGGGAACAATTGCCCAGAGAACCTTTTTATTAGACCCCTCGTAAACAGTAAGGGCTGCGGGGAAGGTAATAAAGTTGCCCTTATTGTTTTAACATAATATAACGAATGTATATGGCTGCTGGGCGAGGAAGCCTGCCCTGTCTCAGGGAAAAACTGTACTGAATGACACTGTAGGGGTGACTCAAAAAGTGGGGCGTCCCCTGGGGACACTGTGGGGAATCGCACAGGGCTAGAGATAAATGGCGCACGTGGGAGTCACTTTGTAAAGATCCAGCAGGCTTTAAAGGATGTGGAAGCTGAGAAACTCATACAGGCCACAAGTTTCCAAGATTTCTTACTCCCCTGGCAGCTGAAAGACTTGAACTTGGGAGAAGTTACTTTTGTGGGGGACTTTGAACTCCCAAAACTCCACCAGCCACACTCAAGATAGTGGCTGGGAATGATAGTTCTTGGGAACTATAGTTCAAACTGCTGTTCAAAGAGTTCTTGGAAATTGCAGTTTGAATTAAGTAATTTTGACATTATTTGGTACAAACGCTCCGACTCACTTGGTTTCCAGCAGGCCCCCTTTTCTCGAACTCCAGGAGGGCAACTGGGCAGCACACGGGGTTTCTGCAGACACAGGGTGGAAAAACTGGGCAGGATCCTGGTAAACTGAAACCCTTCTGCATGGATTTCCCCACAAAGACATCGCCTCTTTCTTTGCTTTGCTGTCCCCCCCCCCCACAGGTAGCCAAGAGGGTCGGTCGGGTGTTGTACATGGCCAGCTTCCCTATGGCTTTTCCACTGCAGCCCCCAGGCCTGCGACCCACAGACCGAGACCTGCCTCCTGCCGAACTCCGCCCGTCGTCCACCGGGAGCGTCGCCTCCTCTCCTTACAGCAGCGCTCTCCTTCCCCCTAGCCGGATCTCTCCAAAGCAGGAAAACGGAAACCCCTTGTTGGCTGGTCTCAGTGACGCAGCGAAGCCTCCTTCTTAACTGCCCAGCCGCCTGCCCCCCCTGCCCCACGGCAGCCTGGCCCTCTTGCCTGCTACTCAGCCCTCCGGCTCTCCTGGGGCCGAGGCCCTCCGAAGAAGTCTCGAGGTGGGTCCTTGGACAAGAAACACATCCAAATTTGGGATGATCCCGATGAGGCGAGGGGGGAGAACTAATCCAAAGATCTCTTGGAAGCAATTCACAAAGGACACATGGTGGTTTTTGCCTGGGGGGGAAAGGGGCAAATTAACTTTCCGGTTCCCTTCTTTTGGCCTGTATGGAAAAAGCAGCTCTGGAGAACTTCTAGGGAGAGACTCAAACCCGTTTGCCACCTTCTCTCCCCCCCCCCTTACCTAGTCCTGCAAACCTGCGGGGACACCCCTCCTCAGTCTGAAACGCGTCCCCTCGCAGGAACCCATACCCTATTCCTCTTCCAGGATGTCTATGCATCGCTAACAACTTTTGAAACAATACCAAAGACAGACGGACTGACCCGGCGCCCCAGTTCCAGTCCATGTTTACTTCATGCTTGGGATGGTACGGCACAGCTCACTCGGGGGGGGGGGCGGTTTCAGTTTTTTTCTTTTTTTGCTCTTGTTTTCGTTTGTTTTGATGGCGTTTTCAGAGGTTTGCTGCTTAGCCGTTGCAGAGGGACTGGAAGTAAGAGATCCCGCCCTCCCCGAGTCCTGCCTGGACTTGTTTTGTGAAAGAGGAAGACGAAGAAAATATATATATTAATAATAATATTGTGTTTAGGGAGAAAGGGGAGTGTGGAAGATGCTGGGGGAAGAGAGAGAGAGGATGGCATATCCCCCCTCCCCAAACTGTGTGTATACAGAAGATGTGTCCCACTTTTATTCTGTTTTTGTGTGTAGGGAGTGTGTGTGCGTGCGCGTGTGTGTGGGTCTTGTGGAGGGGGAGAGGAATGGGAGCGCGCTTTGTTGCAGAAGATATGGAGTTGCACATTTTACCTGGACCAGGTAACAGGTACCTGAGCGAGCCCAGCTGCCAGCCAACCCTGCTGCCTCCCACCGACACCCCCCCCCCGGTCCAACCTCGCAATTTGTACAGTTGTGGAAAAAAACAATCATGTGAGTGATGCTTGTCTGTCTTCTCTCTCTACTTTCCCGTTCTGTTTAAAAACAGCTGCACGTTCTATTTGGTTTCTCTCTTCTGTTTGCATTTTTTTAAGAGGGGGGGAAGCAACCACACAAAAACCACCACCGCCCCAATGGGCAAAGATTGCTTGGTGTGGGCACCTCAGCTTCTTCATTACATATTGTAAATGGTCACGATCCATCACCCAGAGGCCATTCCTTTACAGCAAACCAATTTAAATAATAAAAAAGTCACCTGATTGATAACATGCTTTGATCCTCAGGCCAACGGTGTGTTGAAAAAAAAAACACAGCCATTTACTAGTGAGCACACGATGCAGATTTTATAAGGGGCGGTTTTATGTGGAAATTCTTGTTTAATAAGCCAGGAGACGCACAACCGAGCAACACCTTTCTTTACACAAGTAGGAAGACTAGGCAGAAAGCTGCCATTAACAGTGGCATCCTGTTAACGTGCCAACTGACAGTTCTGGCGAGTTGCTTACCAACAACTCGGAGGTGGAAGGCTGCGTCACGGCAGGGTTTGACGCTGGTGTCCAGGCCCTGGCGTGCTTGGAGGCAGCGATCCCTCAAGCTGTGGAAACACAGGAAGCTCCATTAAAGCTCTAAAGGCAATTCGGGTTTGCCTCTCACGAAAAAGGCAAGGGCGGTGTGCCACGGCCTGTCTTGGTAAGCAGACACACATACACACTCCCTCTACAAAGGTCTGTGCCCAACCACTGTTATCAGCAGGACAGGTAAACAATGACCACAAGGAAGGGTGATGAGCCACCTCTGGTCCTCCTGATGTTGAAGTTAGTACTACTATGGACTTCATGTATCACCACTGACCAGGCTGATGGGAGTCGGAGTCCAGTGCCACAGGGCTCCCTTGTGCTGCCGTGGAAGCTCCTGGCTGAAAACGGGGGGCTGACGTCAGTCGTCCCATTCCATCCATCCCTGTCTTCTCAACGCAGGACAGAGGACAAAAGATGCCGACACCCGGGGGGGGGGGCACGGGTCCAACGCGATCGCAAGCTGCCCTGGGGGTGCAAGGGCTGCTCACGGGTGCCTTGGCTGCCCTGCGCCTGTCGGAGGCCTTGCATAGTAAAGCCAAGGGGGCAACCTGTCAGTGTGTGTGTGTGGGGGGGGGGCAGGGGAGGCGGCAAAAGGCCTGCTAGCCACTTAGCAGAGCCTAGCACCGCCTGGTTGAATCCTCCGGGTCATGGTCCTGCGTCCGGCCTGTGGCATCGGCTGTGACAGATCTTCCATAACAAGATCTCATTGGGTGTGTATGTGTGTGGGGGGGCACAGGGTCTTTTTATGGGCAGGCTGCTACCCCCTCCCTCCCTCTGTGGCTCCTGGCTGGCATCTAGCAAGATGAGGATCAGGATAACAGAGGAAGGGTGCAGGGGGAAAGCACGTGGGCGAGAACCCTGTGCCAAGAGGGCGGACAGGCAGGAGAGCAGCCCCCCCTCCCATTAAGCCTGAGCTGCTCTTCACGGAGGGAGGGGGCGTGGATGGGCAAACGGGGAGGAGAGACCCACCGCACAGCAGTAGCTTGGGGGGGGAGGGAAGAGGTCTACGGAAGGTTTGGAGGCTCGTTTTTCTTCCATGAAAAGAAAACCACAAGAACGTGGCGGTGGGGGAGCCCAGCTCAGCACACCCCCCTCCCTTATTTACAAGTGGCAGATTTTAACGAGGGCCTTTTATGGCCTCCCCTGAGCCGCTTTACTGGCCCCAGCCAAACCACAGGTGGTTTTTTGTTTGGTTTGGTTTTTTACTGCACTGGTTCCCCAGACGGTGAAATTCTGCTGGCGAAGCGGTGCACAGGCGAAGAGGTGCACGTTCCGAGCGGTTCCTTTTTGGGTGGCTGGTGGGGTGCTGGGGGTGGTGGGAGACGCCTGCCTCAAACAAAGCTCCCCCGGAGGGTGTGTCTGAACGGGAGCAGCTGAGCTGGCCCCCTGGCGCAGGCCCTACCTCCTCCTCCTCCTCCTCTGCCCCTTAAGCCACTGCGCGGTTCTGCCGAGGAGAAGGGGACCCTCCGCCGGAGCGTGGCTGTCACTCATTCTCCTCATTGGAGAAATCCAGGTCCTCCACCACGTCGTCTGGCCCCTGGGCCAGCTGCTGCAGCTCCGCCCGAGACACCTGCTTCCCGACACCCTTCGGCTTGGCCCGCACGGCACCCCCTGAGGAAGGAAGGAAGATGAGAGAGAGAGAGAGAGAAAGAGAGAGGTGTAAATCCTGCCTTATGAGGTGGGGAGGGGGCGGGGAGGAGGAAGAGGGAAGCAGAAGCGATTCATTGCTAATTAATCACAGGCACTAATTAATTTATCTGGGCTGCTGCATCTCCCAGATAGCAGGAGGGGGAAGTGAGCAAGGAAAAAGCCTTTTCACCGCAGTTTGCAGACCCAGGCCTCGGCAAGCCTTTGCCGCGGGGGTGTGTGTGTGTATGTGTCAGACAGGCAAATAGGCACAGGTTTACAATTTGCCTTCGCTGAAGGCACACGTTTTGGGGGAATTTCAATGTCTGGAAACAAATTCAGAAACCAACGTGGACCGAGATCAGAGAGTCCTTCCTTTTTATGTGTCCGTAAAGGCCACCCTCTCGTGCATCTTTCAAGGAAGACTTAAACACTCTGGATTTAAAGCAACAGTCAATGATATTAGTCCCCTTTCCCCCAAACACCACAACGAAGCATTTAAGAGTTAAACAACATAGCTCTTTTAAAAAGCAACAGTAAAACAGGATTTTGCATTTACTGTTCACTTGATAGAACAGTGTTTCAAGCTGGACAGTCACCGGAAGTACAGTTATCTGAAATTCACACAATTCACTTGGCACCTTCAGCTTTCTGTATCCCAGAAAATGACGGCAGGGGAATCCAGAGCCTTGGGCTGCCCATCTAGGTGTGGGTACTCTGAGTGGCCTTGTCTGTGCGATGCTCTGGCCCATTCTCCGGCCACCATGACACCCATTGGTGGTGTTTTGGGGTCAGGACTGCAGCACTGAAGGGCTTTTCACACACACACACTCTCCACCCCCGTCACTGCACATCTCACAGGGCTAATTCCAGCCGAGGGGAGAAAGCCCCAAGTACCACCCTGAAAACCTGGGCCAGCCAAACACTTGGCACGAACCCACACGGAGGCAGCTGGGGGGGGGGGCAGCCTTCCGGCCCCCGCCGCACCAGCCCCTGGAGGCCCCAGAGAGTAATTCGCTCCAAGACCTGACGAGGAAACGCCGCCAACCGCTCGCAGCCGTTGTCAGCTCGCGCCTCCGCTGTTCATCTATTCTGGGCAACGGCACCGGGGCTCCCGTGCCAAGACTCCGCCATCTGCCACGGTGAATCAGTCGGCAGGCTGGGCACGGATGGCGCTCTCTCTCCCTCCCTCTTGCTTTCACTTCAGAGGTGGTTGTGTGTGTGTGTGTGTGGAATTGAGTGGAAGGCAGGGAGGGGTGCCCCATCACCCCGCGAAGGGAGAAGGCTTATACCGAAAGGATGCTTCTCATGGAGAAGGAAGAGAATACTGCCAACAGAAGGGGAAAAAACCCAGAACCACCGGGAAAGTTGACAATCTACCATTTTCTCCTGGCACATTAGTATCAACACGCATTTCCATGCCAAGACAAAATCGCTCCCGCTGCTGTGGCTGCTTCTCCATCCCACTCTGTGTTGGTGCAGCTGGCGCCCTCCCCAGGCTAAAAATGGGTGGAATCAAGAACCCCCCCCCCCCCCCCGCATCCCCCCCCCCCCGCAAGCAAGGCGGGCGGCTTCTGGCCCAGCTCCCCCTTGACTTCCCTTCATGAGCACTGAACACATCCTGTCAGGAAGGCAGCCCGCGGGTAAGAAAGGGTCCCCAGACAGCCCTGCTGAGAGGCACCGTTATAATACGAACGTTTAAAGAGCAAGAAGAGGGGCTGCCGCCTATTTAAAGATGTGACAAACACCCAAGCAGGACGGTGAACGGAGGGACCACCTCTTCTCCCTCCACCGCTAAGGGTGACAGAGAGAAATCCTTCTGAGGATTCTCACCAGCACGTTTCATAGCCCTCAGGAAAGCAAGGAGCCAAAGAATCAAAAGGAAACTTGCGGGTCACCCCAGAAGAGAGATGTGGGGAGGCCTCCCAGTTTCATGGCTTCCTCCCCCTTGTGTTTTCCGTCTGCGAATAAATGCCCCCAAAGAGGGAGCGACTCTCTCCGTTACAGCCGGACAGAAGGGGAGCTGCCCTTTATCCAGAGTTAGTTCCTCTCTTGTCCTTCTAACCCAGCCTTGGCTACTTCTGACTGCAGGGACTCAGCATTCGGGAGGGGGGGGGGTCACAGGCCAAGAAGGCTCTGTCACGCCTAGAGCATTTGGGGCAGGAGCCGCAGAGGACTGGGACTGCAAACGTCTTCTGTACACAAAGTGGATGTTCTGTTATTGAACTGTGACCTCTGAACAGTTCATCAGTGTTAGGACCGTCACGTCGGTGACCACTGTGATCTTCAGCATGTGGAAGACGCATGTCTTGGGATTGTGCGCTCCTGCCAACACCACCATCACAGAGGTGCATGTGACTCACTCCCCATGTTGGCCACCTTTCCATTTCCAAAAAAGGCATCTTGGATTTCTATTCCCTTTTCCCAGGAAACAAAACTGCATCTCCTTAACCCTCAGGTTTGACCAGAGAACGCCACTCTTTCAATCCCATGCCAGCGCCACCATCCCAAAGACAGAATGTCCAGCTCACACCATGGCAGTCACGCCAAGGCAGCTCCCCCTCTAAAACCCAGCAAGTTCATCCCACCTTAGAAGCAGAAACTTACCATCAGAATCACTAGAGTTTTCTTCCTCCTCTTCCTCTTCCTCCTCTACTTCATACTCTCCATCATCATCGTCGTCGTCGTCATCATCCTCTTCTTCACTACTGTCGACTGAAGCACCATCTGGGTCCTTCTTGGCCTTTGACTTCTCTGAATCGGAGTAAACAAAATGAACATCAGAAAAGGCAAAGCCTTTCCCCATTCAGGGTCCGGAAAGGGGTTCAGAAGTTTCTCTAACCCAAAATTTGGTTCCAAGGCATTCACCCTAACCCACCCCAAGTCTGCATGCTTGCCTATCTGTTTTATTAAGGTGAGGGGAAATCTGCGTTCTTTAATGTAAAAGATTTAAAATAAATTTTGTGTTCCAGCATATACACAGCAGAACTAAACAGGAAACTACAGATTATTAGAGCAGCCTTTCAGCAGAAAGAAGAAAAACACAACACAGATAAGCAAACCGCAGCTCACAATTATTTAAACAAGCACGAGTTTGGAGAGGGAGAAAAACTGAAGGCAGGAACTGGATGGTGGGCTAGATCTTAGAAAAGTTACTCTTTTAGGACTAAAAATTACCCCAGCCGGCTTATGTTCCGTGCTTGAGGAACCAAGTGTGGGGTTTACAAAGAAGAAGAAAATAGCCACAAAGTTTCCTTTAATAAGCATCCTACCATAATAGTTCTGGATAGAATTGATATCCTTATGCTGCTAATTGGAAGTAGGGGAATTAGGAAGACTGAGGCTGGGAGGGGGGGGTTGCCTTAAGACACTCAAAGATGCAATACATCCGAGACGGGAATGGGGGAGGCCCCTTGGCTTCACTCCTCACCATGACACCCGCTTAGCTATGGGACACAGAAGTGACTTAACGGTCTTTAAAAGGGCACACGTCCGGTGCAAACAGTGCACTACACTCTCCATCGTTCACATGCCCTTCTTGGCAAACGGTCTTTGTGGCCCTTGCAGTTAGCAGCTGCTTTGCTTTTGCCCCCGACCCCCCCCCCCCAGGAAGCCAGCTTCCTTGAGCTGCCTGGATAGCTCAGTGGTTTCGGTCTCTGGCTGTGGAGCCGGAGGCCGGGAGTCTGATTCCTCCCCCGCCCCCTTGGGCCTCTTTGAGACAGGATGGACTGGATGATCCACAGGGTCCCTTCCAGCCCTCCAGTTCTAAGATGATGACAATGATCAAATGCAGCCGACCATTCCCTCCATGGAGCAAAATGCTGGGATGCCTATCTATATTTTATGTTAACTCCAGAACAAGCAAGGCAAGAAATACAGCCAAGAACAACCCCCCCCAAATAAATACAAACACACACACAAACACACAGAGTCATCACTCCCACCCCCTGCAGCTACCCAATTAGCTAGCCCTTGGCTGTGGATAGACCTCTGCCCTTTCCCGGCTTTGCATGCAGCACTGCTAATAATGTACAGGCAGCTACAGACGCTCCGCAGGTTCGGAGACAAACAGGGCACCCATTAAGCTTGCTTGCATCTACCAGCCTCATTTCGTGAACGGCATCACAAAAGGCTGGAGGAGGGAGCAGAGGCAGAAAGGCAACGTGGAAGCTGCATGGTGAAAGACAAAAGGAAAAGTTTAAACCAGCACATGGTTAAACTCTGGAACTCCCTGCCACAGGATAGAACTCAGCCAACTTGCGATAGATGCAAAAGGGAACTGGACGAACGCATGAAGGCTGGGACCAGGGATGGCTACTGATCAGGTGTTGGAGAAAGAAGGCAGAGGGACGGGACCTGGAAGGTGCCCTTCTCCCGGGGAAGGACATGAATGGGCTCCTAGACCAGACAAGCCTTCAGGCTAGCTCTGGTTTGTAGCAGCACCTTCACCTTCCTGGGAGTCTCCACTTTGTATTATCATCATCATCAACAACAACACAAGGATTCTCTTCACCCCTGATGTACTCAGGCTCCAACTCTGCCTTTGCTGGTGGGCTCACCTCCCCCTGTTCCCACCCACCCCTCCAGGGCAGACACAAAATGGATGGCTACGCAGCCTCCCACCCCAATAATGCTAACCAGCCTCTCTGCAGGCCTCTCTCCGGCATCGCAGGAGAGAAAACAAAGAGACCCCACTCAGTCTTTTTGGGTGGGAAAGAGGACCGGCCGCAGACGTGCCTTGGCAACAGAAGCACCTCCCAACCGGGAGCGCCCTGATGGAAGCTCCGCGGCAGCCGCCAGGCAGAGAGAGACCTGGAGGGACTCCCGCTCCTTCTGCCGCCAAGCCGTCGGGGAGGGCGCCCAGACGGACGGACGCCCGGGTCCCTATCACTGCAGCCTGGCTTTCCAGAGAGATATTAGAATCGCTCTTCTAGAAAGACACCCGGCGCAGCAAGCAAGGAGATTTTGGGGGAAAGCCTTTTCTTCTTTCTTCTTTCTCTCTCTCTCCCTGACAGCCTGCTTCTTTATTTTGCAGGTGGACCCACTCTGGGGACTGGGGATCCAATTCTCCATCTCTGGGACTGGCAGGGCGGCCCGCACCCCTCCCTCTTCCCCAGGGAAACAAACCAAACTGGAAGTGTCTGGTGTTGGGGGAGGACACCATGCTTAGAAGGCAGCTCTTCTTCCCACCCCCACGCCAAAAATCCCTGGAAAAAAGGGCCCAGAGGGGCCGCCAGAGTCACACTCTTCCTCTATTCCTTACTCGTTATGAATGCCTAACTTTCATACGCTCCGCATCCAGAACTGTTGGGTAGCTTGGTGGTCGAGGTCTCTGGCTGCAGAGTTAGAGGCTGGGAGCTCCTCAATTCCCCCCTGCGCCCCCCCCCGGGTGCCTCCTTGACTACATGATCCACAGGGTCCCTTCCAGCTCTACGGTTCTAAGATAATGATGACACCGAACTTGCCGAGCTAATCCAGACAGCTCTTGCCCAACAAGAACCAGGCTTTCCAAAGGCTCTTCCTACGTGTCTGAGAAAACCCTTTCTCTCCCCTGAACAGAACATGCCAGGGGAAAAAACGATTGCTCGACATCGGAGCTCTGAAGAGATCTGAACCCTGGCCTGCAGATTCCAACCCTCCTCTCCCCTGCCTCCCTCCTCTTTCCTCCTAGGGGGATGATGGCAACGACAGATTTGGGGTTGATGTGGGTTGCCCTCCCTCCCACCAGAGCCAGAAGACCTGCCACCCACTCTGGTCTTACGGCCTTCCTGCCCCATCCCATCGCCCCACAAGAGTACGAAGAGAGTCTCTGCGGCCCCCAGCAGAGCAGGGAAGTGGGGAGAGGAGACGGGACTGCACAAAGCCCTCCGAGGAGCCAAGAGGATCTTCTTGGCCTGGTGGTCTCCCCTCACATTTCCTGCCCCACCGGAATCCCCGAAGCGGAGAGAGAACGGGAGATATGAGGCTGACTTTTAATACAATTTGGTCGGGAAGCGAGGGCTCTAAAGGCTGCATTAATCACTTTAACGATGAAGCTATTACTGGAGGTGGAGTGGGGCGGGGGGGAGAGGCGAGGATGGGAAATTCACTGCCTCTCGCTTAAGGCTTCCCATAGGACCAGTTCACACGATTGTAGGGAAAAGGGAATTTTTACGTTGCACAGGCAAAGGGGGGGGGCCCTGATGCCCCACCCCTCTTTTAAAGGTTAACAGACTGCTGCTGATTCCTGTTAAAAGCAGGATGCCTTCACTCCCACCTTCTGCCACTAAAAAAGTATACCAGGTTATAATCATCATCATTTTAGAACTGCGGAGCTGGAATGGAGCATATGGATCCTGTCAAGAAGGCTCAGAGGGTCACTGAACCCCCAACCTCTGGCTCCACAGCCGGAGACCGAAACTGCAGAGCTATCCAGCAGATGTACAAGATACACAATCATCTTTCAAAATCTCTGATGATAATAGAATGATGATAATAATAAACCTTTGAATTGCAGGCTATGGATTGTCCAGTCCAGCCCCTGTCAATGAGACCCAGTGCGGGAATCGAACCCCCAACCTCCAGCTCCCCAGGCAGAAACTTCAACCCCTGAGCTACCCAGCAGGTCATTTAACTCAATTTGGAAGGAACTTCAGAACTCTATTATCCTGAAAATCCCGTGAGATGCACTTTGAACTTTGGAACTCACTGCCACTAGATGACACTGATCACTGAAAAGCCTTTCTGAGCAGATTTAGAGAAATTTGTGGAAAACTCAAGGTCGATCAACAGCTATGAAAGTTTAAAGTGAAGCCTCCCTGTTTCCATACAGAGAGTAAACATACTCTCTGAAGGTAGTGGAGAGGCTACTGTTACCTTTGGGCTCTACCTGTGAGTGCCTAGCCAGCCAGTGTAAGAAGGTCAGCTGGATGGACTTTTGGTCTGATCCACTAAGACATTCCCACCACCCAGGACTTCTGGTTCCTTCATCTATAAAATGGGCATAATGCAACAGAGGACCTTTCAGAGAAAAATGGCTTTTAGGGCGTGCGGAAAACAAGGTTTGTTTGTTTTTGCTCTCCATCTAAGTGCAAACAACAGCCTTATTTCCTCCATTCTAGATAAGCAAAGGAGCTAGGAGGAGGCAGTGTAGTGCTACGGAAAGATTATAAAAATCCCAGTTTCAAATCCACACTCAGCTAAGCTCACACAGCAAAGTCAAACCAGTGGGCTGTTAAGTGAGACACAGCCAGAGAGTTAGAAAAAAATAACTCTGTGGCATCAAGTCAGTTCTGACCTACGACGGCCCTTTTCAGGGTTTTCCAGGTACAAAAAACTCAGAGGTAGGTTTCCGCTTCCCTTCTTCTGGGCAGGGATCCCTGGGACGGTGCAGCTTGCCCAAGGCTACCCAGGCTGGCTCTTCTGTCAAGAGGCCCAGTGGGGGAATCGAACACCCAACCTCTGGTTGCACAGCCAGAGACCCAAACCAGTAAGAAAGAAGCTTGGAACTCCTTAAAAATATCTGAGGCTTCAGCAAGACAGTAACCAGACAATCCTACATAAATTTACTCAGAATGAAGTCCATTAACATTTGGGCAGGGCAGTGTAGCTCCATTTCTTGTTTTCCGTCCAGATTGCTAATGTTTCTACAACTTTGCCTTCAGTTGCTCCCTTCCCGTCATCAGCTGCCTTTGCAATCCTCGTTAGAAAGGCGAGATAAACGATGTCAACCCCAATAACAACTGTGACGTCCACGGCTTCCTTTGGCACACTTT